GAAGGGGGACTGTCAAGGAAGAGCTACCCTGCCCAAATGCCTTTGGCACAACTGATGGTGAGCGCTGGGCAGTGCCCATGTGGTAGTGGTGCCTGAGGGTTTTTGCTTTGGGAACAGGAACCTGCTGGTGTCTTAGATTCCCAACACACCTTGCTACTGGACCCCCTTGGACTCCAATATGAATCTCTAACCAGAATTTGGTGCCAAATTCACCTTTTCATTTTTCCTTTCATCTTGAAGCCCTGGTGCCAAGAATCTCCTGAAGCAAACTCTGGAAACCAATGCAGTGCTCCTAGGTGTTTGGGGAAGGAATTGCCCAAGACTCCTTCGGCCACTCTCTGGTCCAGCAGTCTCCAAACGCGTGCGTGTGTGTGTGTGTGTGTGTGTGTGTACTCACACTGACTCTGGCACAGGGGCCAGGGGACAAGCTCTGGGGCGAGCCGTGCAGGGGTGGGCCAGGCCAACCAGGAGCGGGGCTTGCTTGCTCTGCGTGGCAAATGCCCAGAGGTGGAGGGTCTCACATTCTTGGGTGGAAAGGAGCAAAAGAGAGGATGACCCACTTAAAAACCAGCTGTTTTCAAAGCAGCGTGCTTGTAACTGGGGGCTGCTTGAAGTGGGTCAGCCTGCATGTACACGCTGGTCTTCAACTCTTCAAAACCTGGCTGTTAAACATCTGTATCCTGTTTTCATTAGCTTGTAAGCCGTGGGGATGGGGATCTGCCTAGTTTTCTGAAGCAGCAAGTGTGCCTAGAGGCTAATAAACAGCAGGTGCCTCCAATAAATAGGATTTTAATACTCAGTGTAAATGTGAGTGCAACTAAATATGCGAAACGAAAGGTGGAGCTGAATTTTACATGCACATTGCCCAATTTCTTAGCTGTTTTGATCTGGGAACTGTGGAGTGACCGGATCCATGGTGTATGTTTGATATGCATGGGTTGTATGTACAGTATGCAGAGTGTGTGTGGGTAGTGCGTGTGGTTTGTGGCAAGGAATATGTCTGTGTGTGCATCTGTGCGTGTGTGTGAAGAGAGGGTCCCAGTTTAGTGGAGAAAAGAGCAGCTGGATAATTTGCCCAACAAAAAAAAAAAGTATGGGCCCAAATCTCAGGACAGCAACCCAAAGGCATCAAGCCAAGCTCAGGCCTGTCCTGGGTGCTAGGGCAAGTTGCAGGCCGGGCAGCTGACCCTCGGTGGAGAAGGTGCACCTCCTCGTCTCCTTCCAACCCTTACTGATGTCTTGGAAGTCTGAATTCCCCCTTCACCCTCCCAGCCAGCTCTCTGTGGTGACCTGGCCTCAGCAGTGCAGGGAGCCACCGAGAGCGCCTGTGCATTGCCAAGGCTGGTCTTGGTCTTTCCTGAGCCTCCTCCTGGTCCAGGCTGTCTCTGCTAGGGGCATCACAATCCACAAGGCATCTCTGGACCTTGGCTCCTTGCTCAGAAAACAATGTCCTCTCAGCCAGTTACTCCCCATCCTGCATCACAGGGCCCTGTCCTCTATCCCTTCTAAAAGTCAAAGTCTTCCTCTACAAGTCCGCACGATGATCCCCAAAAATTGCCAGGCAGCAGGAACCATCTAAAGCATATCAGGTGTCTCCATGGCCCACCAAGAGCTACAGTACTTGGGGACCTGATAAGCCCTGCCCTGGGCTTTTGCCAATTTGTTGTGCTCTCCTGGGGGAGGAGGCATGGCAAACAGGAATCGGGAAGCTGGAGCAGAATTGGGCTCATGGAGCTCCCGGGCCAGAAATCTCTGTGAGGGGGTGTGGAGGGTGGGGATTCCTTAAGTCCTTCCTGTTTATTGTCCTCACTTACCTCCTCTCAGGTCAAGTTTGGCATGCCTGCTTCCCAGCACACTCAGGAGATGTTAATGGGGAATAATGAGGTCGGTCCACCCCAATACCTTACTTGTCAATAATTAGCTGCATGTCCTAGGTTCTGGGAGGAGGCAGTGGCTCTGGCCTATCCCAGCTGGTTTAGCTCATCAATGCACCATGAGCATAGCCATTCCAAGGTCCTTGAGTGTTTCTGGGGTGTTCCAGGTATGGGCATTCTCCAAGGGCTAATGGAACTAGAGAACTCTCCTTCACCGTTCCTGATCCTAGCTAGAGATGGCCCCTAAGCTCAGCCAAAGTCTGACCCTGACCCCTTCCCCTGTCCTGGTAACTCTGAGACCTTGTACAATGGAACTGTGTGAACCCAGCTTGGAGGGCCTCCTTGAAAAAGATAACCTGCTTGGTGCCACAGTGACCCAAAGTATAAAGATCACTGGGGAGGGCAGCAGCCAGATGGGATCGGGCTCCTCCATTAGACATGGGATTTGGGACCAAACAATGGAGCAGGGATAAAAGACTGCTACAAACTCGTCACTCACTGGCCATGGGGCTTTGCCTGCCCGAGAGAGAGGGAGAGAGATCCAAAGATATTCGTGCCCCAACCTCATGCAAGGGATAAACTGGCTTTCCAGGAAAAAAGTCCCAATTCAGCATTTGCCAGTTTCTGTTGCATGAATACTCCCACCAAGTCCAATTTCAAGCTACCAATTGGCTTAGCAACTGGCTCTGAAAATTCTTGAATACTTAAATCAGCTCTTGCTTCACTGTCCATTAAGGTCACGGCCCTCCTCAGAGGCCATTAATAGCACAAGTCCCCAGGGACCTAGGGCCTGCCTGCCTGCCTGAGCCCAGCAATCCACTCCTGTCCTCACTTGCAAGTGAGCCAGTGGAGAAGCAGTTGGGTGTGAATAAACCATCAGAGCACACTGGAATGCACATGCAGCCAGAAGCTGACAAGCCACCCACTCTCTCCCTTCCCTCAGTCACATGCTAGCCTCCTCACTCATCCCCACTTCCAGGGGACCAGATGTGCAAGGTGACGAATATCAGGGTGGCAGGAAGCCACAGACAGGGTCGGTTCCCTGGTCCACAGAACCACACCCATCCCAAGAGCTCCAAGTGTATCCACCAAAGTGCACTCGCAGAAGGGGCTTTCTGGTCTTGAGAGTGGAGGGACCCTTTCTCTGGATGCAGGTTTTTCTCTGAGACCCATCTGCTTTTGATGTCTTCCCAGTGTCTCCATTTCCCCTCCTCTGGGCTCCTGGAATACTACCATGGCCCCACCTTAGCCAGGCAGCTGTGATGAGAGGTGCTGACCCAACTGCTTCTCCATTGGCTCACTGCATCAGGTGGAAGAGGCCGGAGACAGCAACAGAGACTTAGAGTCTTGTGGTGCAGTTGGGGGCCCTGGGGCCATGCAGAGGCAGGATTGGATCCAGATACCTCTGGGATTCAGATAGACACTGAGTGATGAATGGGAAAAGCAACCAGAGGGGGACGGGCTCTTGGCCAGGAAAAACAGTCCCAGAGCCACAGGTGTGACATTGAGACTTCTCCTCTTGCAACCATAATCTCTCCTGTTTGGTGACAGCACACATCCAGGCCTGAGACCCAGCAGAAAACATTCCCTGGGTCCCAGATTAAGTTTCTATGGGGACAGAGACAATCATGAATCATCACATTTGTGAGCTCCAGGCTGGTTCATTGCAGAAGACAGACTTGTGAATAAACCATCAGAGCACACTGTAATGCACATGCAGCCAGAAGTATGTACACACATTAGGGACAGGATAGAAAGATCTGCCAAGGAGATGACATTTGAACAGGATTATAAAAGCGAGTCCCTTTAATAGCCTCAACCACCCCACACAGGCCCAAGTCAGATCTCCAGCTCACAGATCTGCTCTGTGGGTATCTGTGGCATATCCAGGGCTGCCTCCCACCCTCAGCAGTGGAGGGTCAACAGGGCCTCCTCTAGCTAAAGCCTTTGAGGTCCTCACCACTGGCATTGTCAACATTGACGTTTCCTCGACTCAGAACAAAAAGGGAGTGAGATTCCCCTGTTGCTCTTTCTGTAAATGACCAGGCTGAGGGAGTGAGAGGCAGGGCCGCCATATCTGGGGAAGGGGCTCTTGGGAGGGTTCCTGGAAAGCAGAGAGGATAGGAAGGGAGGATTTAACACATGAGAAGTGGAACATGGGGCCCTTCCAGGGTTGAAGCCAGATCCCGGATTCATGGGCCGATCCCCAGAAGTTCAAGATCTGAAGCAGCCCACTTCTGGACCTTAATGAGAGCCCCTGGCCTGAGGCCTTGTCCTCAGATGGTGTGACTCTGAATTAGGGATGACCAATGAAGGAAAATCACCACAGCAATTGAGTTCATATAAAATGACGGTGAATGTGTGTAGTACATGCACATATATATGTGAAAATTCAATTAAAAAATTATTTCTGTGCATTTTTTTTCTTTTGGTACTGGGAATTGAACCCAGGGGCACTTAACCACTGGGCCACATCCCCAGCCCTTTTTATATTTTTATTTAGAGACAGGATCTCAGTAAGTTGCTGAGGCTGGCTTTGAATTTGTAATCCTACTTACTGAAGCCACTGGGATAAATAGCATGAGCCATTGCACCTGGTGATTTCTGTGGATTCTTGATTCTGGGACCCTCCTCTGTCTTCCTCTCCAGGGAAACTTCTGGAATCCCATACTTGGTTTAGAATGTGTGTGAAACACCTATTCAGTTCCTGTACATAGTGGGAGCTCAATAAACATAAGCTCCTTCTCTTTGGCCACTCAAAGTTGTCACTTGGCCCAAATGGGGCTTTCCCAAACTAAAAACTGCTAAGAATCTGGTCCCTGTCTTCTCCTTCCTTCTCTGAGTAAGGACAAACACCGGAATGTCATAACATCCTCTGTGTCCTCATCTGTGTTATTCTGGGACACAGGCTGGGAAGGGTACCTGGGTAGCCCCCTCCCCCCACTGAGACTGAAGTTTCTTGTAATGTGGGCTGGCCTGTGTCAGCCCGGTGGATGGATGCAGAAGGGTGAGGCACCCATCCTGCTAGTCAGGCAGGATGCTGGCAAGAGGACAGCTGGCCAAAGGGGGTGGAGCTTCCAGAACAAAGGAGAATGGGGAGCCCTGGGGGCCCAGGATAGGCATCAAAAAGGCTCTGCAGAGTGAGCAGGCCACATAGTGCTTGCCTCTGCATCCAGCAGCCAGCCGACAACCCTTACCTGCTCCCTTCTCTTGCCCAGGCTGGGCAAGTAAACAACACTCTGCTTAGAGAAGCCCAGCTCTCCAGCGTGATTGCGCCCACACTGCTCTGTGGCTTTCTCTACTTGGTGTGGGTTGCTGCTGAAGTTCCAAAGGCCAGCAGAGGGATGGCTGCCAGCGGAGCCAGGAGACGGGAAGGCCCCCGGGAGCATGCCTTCATCCCAGAGCCTTTTGATGGGGCCAGTGTAGCCCCCAGCCTCTGGCTGAACCGCTTCGAGGTCATCAACGACCTCAACCATTGGGACCACACCACCAAGCTCAGGTTCCTGAAAGAGTCGCTCAGGGGAGACGCCCTGGAGGTCTACAACGGACTCAGTCTCCAGGACCAGGGAGACTACGGGATGGTGAGGGAGACCCTTCTGAAGGCCTTCGGGGGCCCCAGTGCCACTCTCAGCCACCAGCCCAAAGAGATCCTGTTTGCCTACAGCATGGGCAAGGGCTACTACCTCAAGGGGATGATTGGCCCAGTGTCGGTGAGGTTCCTGGTGGACTCGGGGGCCCAGGTCTCTGTGGTCCACCCGAAGTTGTGGGAGGAGGTCACCGACGGCGATCTGGATACCCTGCGGCCCTTCGAGAACGTGGTAAAAGTGGCCAACGGGGCCGAAATGAAGATCCTGGGTGTGTGGGACACAGTGATTCGCCTGGGCAAGCTGAAGCTGAAGGCTCAGTTCCTGGTGGCCAACGCGAGCGCCGAGGAAGCCATCATCGGCACCGACGTGCTGCAGGACCACAACGCCGTGCTGGACTTCGAGCACCGCACCTGCACGCTCAAGGGAAAGAAGTTCCGCCTCCTGCCGGTCGGCGGGAACCTGGAGGATGAGTTCGACCTGGAGCTCATCGAGGAGGAGGAGGAGCCCTCCGTGGAGGGGAGGCGGCAGCAGCACTCCCATTAAGAAGCCCCCTTTTCCTTGTCCCCCCAAGATAGGTAGGGAGACCCACCATTGTGCGGGGGGCACATGTCCTCTGGGGAAATCTAACGCTGGCTCTCCACTCCCCTCCCTCTGCAGGGGCCTTTCTCTGCCCCTGGTGGGGGAGGCTTCATGGAAACAGCAGGGGGAAGGAGAGCAGGGCGGCATGCTCAGAGAGAGGGTCCCCACGGTCCTCAAGCTATTGTTGGTGGCAAAGACTGGAAGGCTAGAAGCAGCTTCCCAGGAGGTGGAAATATCTGTCTTGGAGAGAGGACTGGGGGAACCCCTTCACATCCCTAAGAGGTGGTTCTGTCACCTCCGAGTTCTTGAAGCCTGCTCAGCTGGGGCTGGGTCCTTGTCTGCAGGACCCTTAGGAGCCAGGTCCAGCTCTCAGGCTGGGGTTGACAGTTGCCCTGAGAGCCTCCCTGGGGAGCCTTCCCACCTGCTCAACGGTATGTTTCCTTCTGTCATTTGCTTTGAAACCCCTGATCCTTGCGCCAATAATTCAATTACTTCAAAACCAATAAAGACCAGTTGATGGAAGAACCTGTAATGTGCTGATTGGGGATGAATGAAATGGATGTGAGAGAGCCAGGAGAACGGGGAGTAAAGGGAAAACAGGGACAAAGACCAGGAACACTCCAGTGTGTCCTGAATGCTTGTGCTTGGCGTGTGTGTGTGTGTGTGTGTGTGTGTGTGTGATTATTATTACTATATATGTAGTAATAATAATAATAATAATAAGTATATAATGTATACATATGGAGACCCTACATGTCTTGGATTTTTCTAAGGCACTCTCAACTTAAAATATTTTAATTTATTCCCTCTATAATTCCTCTCATCATTTCTAATCAAGTCATAATTCATCTAAATATTTTAATCTATAATATTTTAGCATCCAAATTGTCCCTTATATCCTAAGGTGACCCTAAGGCTATTTGTGAAATGTCTTGATGGGAATTGGGAAATAATGAGTATTGGAAACAAATGGGTTCTTACGGATGCCCTGGGAGCCAGAATTTGGAGGCAAAAAGTAAAGCTAGGAGACAAGTGTTGACTTGTAGGGAGCAGCCCAAGGGATTCTGCAGGGCAGAGGGGAGGCAGCAGGGGGGACTCAGGCAGTTGGGGGAAGCTCTGACCCTTGGAGGACAGCTTCTTCCTGGGGGGACTTGGAAAGGAGCCTGACACTAGAGATGCCAGATAGAGGGGAAGAACATTCAGGAATGGGATGTCCAGCTCTTTTAGGGGTTCACCTCACATTTGCTTCCAATTTCCTGCCTCTTCCTCTGGAACTCAACAGGCCTGAGAATCTGAAAACCCCTCAAATCAAAGGGAGAAGCTGAGTGGATGGAAATCTGCACAGAGGAGCAGATTTGTTGCAAACCTCAGGGCTCCTCACTCCTTACATCAGGGAAGCAGGTCCTTAGGGATGATGGCCCACACCCTCTAGGCTGAACTCAGGCCCAGAAAGATTGGCACAAGGACAGAGACTTGGGCTTGCAGGGACATTGGGGCACAGAGCTTTGGCAGCCTCTTGATGGGAGGCAGGCAGGGCCATTTTCCCTTCTCCATGGCAGAATCAGCCTCTTCTGGAAGATTCCAGCTGGACAACTCTTGGGAGAGACAGAGAGCCTGAGCAGAGGCCGGAGGCTGTGGGGCTAAGCCTTCTTGCTTAGAAGCTTCTGGACATCTGAAGCTAACCTGAGCCAGGAACGCTGCCCTCCCTCCCTCAGATTCCAGCTGTGGTTCTTCTGGGACCTGGGGTATGACTCAGCCCCTAATCCCCAGCGTTTACAGAAGCTCTGTCCCTGGGCAGCCAAGCATCTCAAGTGGAATTAGCTCCATCACCCTGGGAGCACGGAGCAGGAGCACATGGGACAGAGGTCAAGGTGTGGGACCAGGAGGGTGTCTTTCCCCAGCAAGGTGAGGCTGGAGAAGAACAAGGTGATCTCCTCCTGCCTCCCAGGTCCTGGGTTCTCTTCTCAAGCTTGTTTTTCTACCTCTCTCTCTCTCTGCTGGCCTCTCCAATACTGCTGCTCTCCTGGGCCAACCCGTCTCCTGAGGGAACAACCCAGCTGGCACCTCCCTGTGACCTATTTTCCTCTTCAGCTTTCAGATCTTAGCCACATGCTGGGCTGAAGGAGGGCGGGTGAAGAGTGGGTGGGTTGGGAGGTGGGGAGGGGTCAGGAAATTGGGCATCCAGGCCAGAATTCCAGGGCAACACGCAAGCCACCCCTACCCTCCACCCCACACAGCAGTGAGGCCGAGCGCTGTCCTGTGTAAACTCGAATGGGTATCCCTGCAGTGGATACTGCTTTTTCCTGGTTCTGGGTGAGGAGGGCCCATCTGAGCCACCAGACTATCAGCCCAGCTACCTCTCCTAGAAGAACAGGGAACCCTGAGTGAGGCCAGGCAGAGGAAGGATCTCCAATGCCTATAGAAAGGCCCCATGAAAGAAGGCACCGGGAAGTGCTTTTTACCTGGATACCTGAGGAAGACCAAGGCAGGTGCCGTGTGGCTGTGAGAGCGATTACAAATGTGTGTGTGATTGTGAGTGCTGCTCCCCTGGGAGCTGAGTGTCAAAGGAACCTGGGAAAGAAGCCAGAAAAAAATGGGCTCCGGCCACATCACAGAGGGCCTGTTGTCCAGGTGGGGAGCTCATACTTGACTTACAGGTTTGTGGAAGGGCAGAAGACTCATCTGGCTCCTGGATAAAGGATGAAGTCAAGCAGTGGCAAAGAACTGAGCCTGGGAGCTATGGCGGTGTTTTGATGTAAGGTCTGAATTTGAGTAGATGGGGAGCGGTGGCAGGGGTCAAGGTAAAGGGTTAATCTTGGCAGCACATTAGAATCACCTGGGAAGGGGCTGGGGCTATGGCTCAGTGGGAGAGTGCTTGCCTAGCACGTATGAAGCAGAGTTTGATCCTCAGAACCACATAAAAATAAATAAATAAGATAAAGATGTGCCCATCTACAATTAAAAAAAAATGTTAAAAAAAAAAATCACCTGGGAAGACCAGTTACAGCCATCTTCTCCATTGGCCCCAATGTGCAGGCGGGCTCGGGGACCCTTGTTTGAAGTTCCAGTGGTGTACCCCTTTGGCTACCTATAGGCTGACCCAAGGACCAGCAGAATCAGTGCCCCCCGGGACCTTGTTTGGAATGCAGAATTTCAGGGTCCACCCAGACTTGCCAGAATCTGCACTGAGTATCCCAAAGGATCCTCATCATGGAAAAATTTGAAAAGCCCTGGCCAGGAACGTCCTATTGTCCAAGTCCTAGCCCCTACAGGACAGCCCCTTCTCTAAGAATGACCATCACACAGTGAATGCCTACCAATCCCCGAGTAGGCTAGATAATTCCTCCGTTTTTATCCAACAACTACTTATTTTATTTTAAAACTTTTGTTTTGAAATAATTTGAGACTTACAGAAAAGTCGCAAGAGTAGATCAAAGAATTTCCATATGCTTAACCTAGTTTTCCCAAATATTAAGTCTTACCAATTAACTTTATTCGCTCCCATTCTTTCTTGGTATCTACATGTAGATGAACTATTTGAAAATTGTAAATAAGATGCACTTTTTTTTTTTAACTGAGGATCAAACCCAAGGCCTCAATGCATGGTAACCAAGTGCTCTACCACTGAGTTACAGCCTCAGCCCAATATGATGCATATTTACCTCTACTTCAATGTGTATTTCCCAAACCCCCACATTCTATTACCATAATACAGTTATCAAAGTCAGGAAATCAACATTGATATAATTTAATCTGCACACCTGCTTAAAATTTTCCAATCATTCCAATACTTTTTGTAGTCAAAGAAAAAATTATTTTTGATGGGCTCATGCCTGTAATCCCAGCAGCTCTGGAGGCTGAGGCAAAAGGTCCGTGAGTTCAAAGCCAGCCTCAGCAACTTAGTGGGGCCCTGAGCAACTCAGTGAGACTCTGTCTCTAAATAGAGTACAAAAAAGGGCTGGGTATGTGGCTCAGTGGTTAAGAACCTCTGGGTTCAATCCCTGATATGAGAGAGAGAGAGAGAGAGAAAGATTTTACAGTCCAGGATCCACTTCTCCTATACATCACATTACATTGTCGTATCTCTGGGTTCCTTTGAACAATTTCTCAGTCTGTCTTTGTTTTTCATGACTTTGATAATTTTGTAGGAGACTTGGCTGGTTATTTTGTAAAATGTCCCTGAATTTGGGTGAATTTGATGTTTTCTCTAGATTAAATTTGGGTTTTGCGTTTTAAGCAAGAACATCCAGAAGAGACAGTGTCCTCAGCAAGTGTCCCTAGGCAGAGGAGGTTGGCTGTTCCATGACTTGTGATGTTCACGTTAATCACTTGGTCTGAGTGCTTTCTGCCAGGTTTCTGGGTAAATGAGTGTCTGGTGGGGAGGCAATCAGGGCCTATATAAATGTTCCATTTGTCACCAGGCTGTCACCTACTAGGTTTAGCACCCTCCGATGATTCTTGCCTGAACCCATATTATTGTGATGGTTATCACCTGGTGATTTTGAAATTCTATACTACATTCTTTAACTGGCTCTCAACTTTAAGGAAGAGCTTTCCCTATTTATTGATCCCTATTAATTGATTGATAACCAAAACCCACACATCCTTGTGGACTCACAATTGCTGCTTTTATTCAATAAGTTACACTCAGCTATTACCATTATTTATTTATTTTAAAACCTTTTTTCTTAGTTGTAGATGGACACAATACCTTTATTTGTGGTGCTGAGGATCGATGGAACCCAGTGCCTCACATGTGCTATGCAAGTGCTCTACCTCTGAGCTACAGCCCCAGCCCCCATTATTTATTTTGATGCTTAAATCATTTCAGATTTGGCAATGAGAGTTTCTCCAAAATGGCTCCTGTCTTCTTGGGACATGTTCCCCTGCTAATTGGAGTCCTTCTTCATCTTCTGATGTTTCATGTCCATCTTGTCCCTTCCTTGTACCAGCCCCAGAAGTAGCCATTTCTCCAAGAAAACCTGATTCCTGTCAGTGGGGCCTGGTATTCAGAAACCAGGGTCTGGCTATCAAGCGTGCTCATTGCTACTGGGATGTCATTACTCCTGGATCATCTGAGCGTCCAGAGCTAAGAGGAAAACATATAGTATATCTCAATACCTTTCCCTGATCATTAAGAAACTGTGGTATATATACACAACGGAATGTTACAGAGCATTAAAGGAAAATAAAATCAGGGCATTTGCAGGTAAATGGATGGAGTTGGAGAATATCATGCTAAGTAAGCGAATTCCAAATAAAACAAAGACCAAATGTTTTCTCTGATAAGTGAATGCAGATCCAAAATGGGGGTGGGGGGGAGCATGGGAGGAATAGAGGAACTTTAGATAGGGCAAAGGGGAGGGAGGTAGGAAAGATGGTGGAATGAAGTGGTCATCATTACCCTAAGTACACGTATGAAGACATGAATGGTGTGACTCTACTTTGTATATAACCAGAGAAATGAAAAATTGTGCTCTATATGTGCACTATGAATTGAAATGAATTCTGTTGTCATGCAGAAC